GTCTGTATACCAGTGATTGAGGAAATCCTTTTGGGTTTTTGTGGAAAATCAGGATTCCGTTATATTACAGACACGCTCAAGTCTCACCCGGCCTGCGTGTGCCGAGGCTCTTAACCCCGGCTCTTCCTCTCAGGCTTTGAGAAAATGCTGAGGGCTCAGATGACGTGGCAGTGGCTGCTCTATATTTGGCTTTTCGTTAAAGAGGCAGAAAAGCAGACAGACTAAGTTGTTTTTGAGGAAGTCAAAGTCTTTCTTGTTTTTTTTGTTTTTGTTTTTTTCCTCTTCTTTTTAAGTTGCACATAACACACAAACCCACACACACCAGCCCACCTGGGTGGGCCCCCTGTGATCCTACATGCCCGACAGTGGGTGGGACATTATGAAAATGAATTTTCTGAATAAACAGACCACTAAAAAGACAAATCAGGTATGTAGGTATTAATATCTGCTTCTTGTGACATAACACAGCAGCAGCAGTCAAGTCGGAACAGGAGCCTGTTTGTTTGCAGCCAGTGTTATCATTTTTAGAAATGTTGCCAGGGCAGATGATGGAGGGGGGTTCGTCCTGACCAGAAGCCTCAAGGCAGCCGGAGTCTCTCGTACCTTTTCCCTTCTACTTACAGCAATTACAGGCCTGCACCCGCAACTATAATAACGGTATAATGGGATGGCAGCAGAGCAGCAATAAAAGCCACCCCTGACAGATTAACAGTCCTTTCCAAGTCCTGAACTGTAATTAACAATGAGACCGAAAAGGAACACAGCAAAGAATCTGGGCCAGATTGAAAGCCTGAAAGGATATAGATATAAAGGGATGGGCTCTTTGTGGAGAGATTTAATAAAACCCAGATAAGCCTTGAGCTTCCAGCAGGGCTGAGTTTGAGCTGGAACCCACAGACGACTTGACCAAAGCTGCATTTTAAACTCAAAGTAAGGGATTAATGTACCACTTCTCTCGGATTTTCGTCTGAGAATTTTCTGCCAAATGTTAACCAGGGATATCACGAGATTGGAAAACCACAGCACTGATGTTGTGGAAAACTCACCAAGCCTCTACTGAAAAGCCTGAGGCACGGTAGCAAGAAACCGAGGCCTTCGTCAGTGAGACAAACTGATAAGCAGGACACATTCATTTGTAGACAAACGGCTAAAATCTGAACTAAACTCAAATTAGGTTGAAAACGTTCACACAAAACACTGTTTTAGTTGAAATAGTTCTGAAAATAACTGAAAAAGATGAGATTTGTACTTACACATTAACCTTCTTGATGAAGCCCTCACAGAAAAGACTAACGAGGTACAAATGACATCAGCTGCGTCACCTACAGCCCAAACACAAATTAAAGGTTAATTATACGTTTTTTTCTCAGTCAGGAAGTGATATATTTATGATTAACTCTCTGTGTCACAGACTGAATATCACATTGAAATACAGTAATGATCAGCACTGAGAGGTGGTTTGTCCTAACCTGTTATTTATTCAGCCGCACAAAACTTGTTCTTTTTAAACTATACAAACAACTGTTTTACCGAAATAAACCGAGTCTGTTTTATTTCACAGCACAAACAAAGCCATCAGTCTTCCCACCGCCTCCTCTGTGATGAAATGATTCATCTTGTTCCTAAAAAGGCAGAACAATCTTAAAGCCTGTTTTGCCCACATGAGATGTTTACCTGCGGAGAGAGGCATTTTTGTGGAAGGAAGAAAATTGCAAAATTGTGTGTGCGTGCCTACTTTAGGAAGATGGCTCTTGCCTACATAATCACACACTCCCTTCACTACGGTGGCAAACCCTCCCCTCCCCTCCCCCCCCTCTCCTAACCCTCCCCTCCCTTCCCCTCCCCTCCCCTCTCCTCCCCCGGCTACAGCTGGCCCCCTGCTTAATCCAGCGCAGTGATGGGGTACGGGGGGGAGACAGGGGCTCATGGTTTTTTACACACTGTGTTTCCAGTCCCTCCCTCTGAGACTCCCTCTGTCTGGGACTCCGGGCATTTCTCTCTGCAGGATAATGGAGTCACATCACACAGCAGCTCTCAGTGTTTTCAGCAGACATCACACTGGAGCTCATTTAACCTGGACATTAACAAATTCCTCCTAGGTTTTTCTCACAGTACAAGGACTTCTTTCATATGTTTTTCTGCGTCATGTATTTCCACGCTGCCTGACTTTTTCCGTATTTTGATGTTTATATGAGGAGAATCAACAGGCTCCACTATGGGTTTTCCAACATAAATCTGATGTTTTTTCTCTAGGCTTCGGTGCAGACGGCTCCTGTTTACCTATAGACCGGGGGATGGGAGGATCTTATAGGTTCTTTAAACAGGTTGTAATACGTGTTTTTGAGGGCGGGTATGGGCCAGTTTTCGGTCCCACAGGTGGATCTTTTGGAGGCGAAAGTTGAGGAACCCTGCGGCTTCAGATGAAGTGAGCAGCTCGGGATTTTCTCTGGAGGTTTTGCGACATGGGCTGAGCTCTTAAAACGACATTTTCTCCTGAAAGCTGTTGAATGATCAGAGGATGGACGACGGAGACGGATAAAACACAACCCAGAATTATAGGACACTGCAGTTGGACATCCACACCTTTGTGCACCGGTACAGAGCCGTGGGGCGCACACCACGACTGGGTCAGACGAATGTCCACACACTAAACTGAACATTTTTGTTGCTCTGGAGTTTGGATGATGTTGTTTAATCTTTGGGCCGTTTGCATCGTCACTGATTCAAATTAATTTCTCCAAAGAAACCATGGCAGCGCATCTTTACAAGCCAAAGCCAAAGTCACATGTGAACTGAAACAATTAAAGATAACAAACGGGCTTTTTGCCTGTAGTGGACGCCGCACTTCTCCACTTAGTAGATGTTTGACAGACTTTTAGTTTAGATGGTAGATCAGTTTAGACGCGTGTTTCTTGGTTCGTTGCCCTAAAATTCCGGAGCTTCGTCTTGTGACGGTGCGCCCAAACTGACCCGGGTTACTTTCAGCTGGATCTTCACTCCCTGGATCATGTGGCTGCCCCGCCTGGCACTGCTGCTTCTGCTCCGGTTCTCCAGTTTACCGTCGCCGGGGGCGGAGGGGCTCAACACGTGTCAGTCCATCAACTTGGACGCACAGAAGTCCCGGCGCATCGAGGCGGTGCGGGGACAGATTCTCAGTAAACTCCGCATCCGCAGTCCTCCAAAAGATGACGAGGCCCCGGTGCCTGGACCCGTGCCACCGGAAGTGATGTTGCTCTACAACAGTACACGAGAGCTGCTGAAGGAGCGCGCGCGCCAGGCCGAGTCTGCCTGCGAGCGCGAGAGCAGCGAAGAGGATTATTACGCCAAAGAGGTGCAGAGGATTGACATGCTGCCAACACGCACCACCACAAGTGAGTGTGTTGTACAGCTGTAGTGTTCAAAACACCAGCCCGAGGACATGTGACAGTGTAGGACAGGTTCTTGGTTTTGTTTGGTGGATTTAGTTTATTTGATATCTCTATTTATATCATAAAATGTCGGGTATATCACGAAGAGCAGATTCAGATGATTGCATCCACAGACTGTCAATCATGAGGCTCTTGTTTATTACACCACATTGTCATGGTGCAGTTGAAATTACTCTCAAAATTAAAATCAAAATGGATAAAAACTCTTTATATGAGTACATGAAATTATCGTTTCAGTTTAATCAGAAAAGTTGGTGATACCATGAGAGTTATATGAGAATATATTTCTACTATTTTTACCAAAAACAAGCAACATGTTATTTCTCTAATGGGGTTTAACTTTTCTATATATCCACTGACTTAAAAACATTTACTAAGGGTAAACTGTATTTTTTATCCCATTAGAAACTCTGGAGTTTCTTTTTGGAATATTAAAGTATTTACAGGCAGAATCCATCCATCTTAAATAACTGGCCTAAAAGAGCATCAACATTGGGGGTCTGAAGCTGGACTCAATCACCATGTTCAACAGAGACCACTTATTTTAAAAAGCCCAGCTCAGGGCTGCTGCAGTGTTACTGACTTAATCTGACACTTGACATGGATGTAATTCTTAATTTTAGGTTGCATTTCTAAACTTAACATCCTGGTCTTAGGTTTAAGGTTATGCTCTTCACTGCGTGACTGCCACAATACATTGGTCCACACTCATCAAGTCTCTCTTTCTAATCCTGTCATTTAGTTTGTAGACGTTCATCAGCGTTTACAGTGTCCTAGACAATGCATCAGTCACGCAGAACTGTTTTTCATCAGTCGTTGTCAACAACGTCTGAAGATGCTTTAGGAGCGTTAGTCACCCCTTATTTACAATCTCTCTTTTCCATCCAGACGCTGTGCAGCCAGTAGCACCCAGCCCCCACTACAGAGTCGTCCAGTTCGACGTCAGTGGAGTGGACTTGACCAACAGCACCTTGGTCATGGCTGAGTTCAGAATCTTCAGGGCTCCCAATCCCCAGGCCCGGGCTTCAGAGCAGAGAGTGGAGATCTATCAGGTAAAGAGAGCGTAGACACCAAGGAACACGCGAGAGCACGACCACGAAGCACAAAGACTACCACATACAGTAATCAGGAACATCAGAGAGAAACCAAGAATTTTCCAGGGTTTTGAAGCAGACACTAAATCATGGTCTTATAAAATCACTTCAGGCCACATCTGTCCCATTGTACAGTGTTACAGCAAGAGTTTGTGCTCAACCAAACCACAAGAATGTTCTCACTTCTCCCCCCTTTATGGAAAATAATCGTCAAATGCGTCACTTTCTTCTCTGGAGCTGAATTTTCTATCACTGATTTTTTTTGGCTTCAGGCTCTGACGGTAAATTTAAATAATTGGAGCTAAATCTATAATTTGACCTTTATTGTAACATTAAAGACACACATGTGCCAGACAAAAATGTCTACCTCAGGAAAGTAAGTAAATATTCAGAAATATTCAGAGATCTGGTGAGTGTACACAGTCACAGGACGTCTTTCCCAGAACATGAATCTGTTGTTGTGCCAGTAAAGTTTTTTTTCTTTCCTGAATTCTTCTTTCACTGTGGTTGGTCCACAGTAGCTCCATCTTTATCTTTACTAAATTACTGCAATTTGCACTTGTGCTACCAAAATAATCTATATTGTACATAATATGTCTCTTCTTTGAGGCGTCCCACAAGTTATTGAGCCTCGTGTGCAGGCACAGAAGCATTCATTGTAGGTGTGAAAAAGGCTGTGGGTTATTGGTTTTTTATTTCTTTTGTAAAGTCTTGGTCAAATCCGAAGTATTGGCAGGGAGGGGGTTATCAGGCCCAGCTGCCTCTAGTGCACCCTCTTCTGAATCACATCTGAGTATCAGACTGAAAAGGTAATAGAAGGAATGTTCTGGTAGGTTCCATCACCTTGTTTGTTTTTCACATCAGCTGCTGAAGCCAGATGAGGAGAGCACCTCCACTCAACGTTACATCGACTCCCGCACCGTTCAGCCCAAAGCAAAGGGATCTTGGATGTCTGTGGACGTCACAGAAACCGTTAAGGACTGGTTGTCAGATCCAGGTTCGTCTTCAAAATCTTTTCTTCGCTGATTCTTTTCCTTACAAATATTGACCGTTTTTTTTCTCCACCACCTTCCTTCTTCATCCGTCTTTGTTACTTATCTTCTTCTTACTGTAGAAAATAATCTGGGCCTAAAACTAGGTGTCCACTGTCCGTGCTGCACCTTCGTCCCTTCCACCAACAACATTGTTCCCAACAAGAGTGAGGAGCTGGAGGCCCTGTTTGCAGGTTAGTTGTGTTTATTTTTGTTTTAACTGCATTTCATGCCAGTGCCTGAGATGTTATTGATGCAACATGAAAAGGACGACATTTCAGGATAGACTTTTGCTGAGTCCAGAGATCATTAGGTCAGCGTGGAAGTTTAGTTCTTTAGACGACCACAGCCACTGTCTTTATGACCGATGTGACCATTAAAATGAAAAAACAAAGGCTGGCCTTATCAGCTGAAAGTGGTGTTAAGTGGCTTTAAAAGCACTTGTGGAAGATTTATCAGCGCTGCCGTGATCCCACAGGTCACAAAATGTGGAGATTAATTGCAGGCTCTTCGGGTAAACGCCCTGAGAGAAACTGAGTCACGCTCAGACTGTCACACAGGACCAACTGGTCTCCCACACTTCGTGATACAGCTGAATACCAGACTGTCTGTGTTGCTTCATTTAGGCCCCAAATTATGGCACTTTGCTCAGGATTTATACGCAACTGAGCCAAGGCATGTTTTTTTCCACTGTTGAAAAAAAATAAACTTTTGATACTACAGTGAGACAAGTAAGGGCCTGTTTTAATCTGTGGAGCTCTGACAGACTCAGGTGAAGCCAACCTCACACAGTCACAACATGGTTTTGGAAGTCATACAGAAATTCCATGTCAAAAAAATAAATTATATATATATATATATATATAACTCTATAAAGCAAAATCAAATTGAAGTATGCTGATTTATCTTGATTAATCCCTACATTAATTCACAGCTAACCTGTGATTAATCAGATTAAAAAGGTTAATGGTTGATTGGTAGATACTTCTGATTTCTGTCTTCTCAGAATAAGGTGCCAGAGGAAATGTATTCACATTCAATCAGAAACAATCTTGTGGAGATTTAGACGGTTTGCTGTGACAAATGGTGAAAACAATTAGACTAAGTGCCTACAGTATAGCTCTGTGATTTTGCCAAGCTACTGCTCAGCTAAACTCCAATGAAAGAAATCTGCGGAAATCTTCTTGTATCAAACTGAACCGACAAACCTTTGAGCTAAAAGGACACAGGTGATGTTGGCAAAGATCAGTGGCAGCAGGGATCTCTGTGCCGTGGCACCAGTGCACCTGCAACCGAGCTTCCACCAAGCATTGAATTTCCTTTTGACTTTCTACAGGTGTTGACGACGAAAAGATTCGCCAGATAAGAAAACCCGGCCAGGTTAAAGGTCAGCCGGACGTCAGCACCAAGACACCACACCTCATCCTCACACTGCTGCCCAGTGACAGAGTGGACAACCCAGCCAAGAAGAACCGCAAGAAGAGGGCTGCAGCCACAGACGCCTCCACCTGCTCCCGGTAAGCCACCGTGCAGCCACGTGTGAGAGACTGACAGGACCGACTCCTCTTACTTTGGGGGGAGAATTTATTTCTTTTGTCTCCGTCAGACCCACAGCTCACTCTGCTGACTATTTTGTGGCAAAACTAACAAAACGGACCCTGTGTTTAGACTGCAGGCCAACAGGCATGCAGTGTTTTATTTAGTCTACCTCACACTGCAGGAGAAAACTCTGGCTACGTCGCTCAGTCATTACCTTGTGACGGCGGTTTCTGCAATGGTCATTTTCCCATGACCCAACTCTGGGCCTTTGCCTCAGACCTTGAAGAGCAGGATGGGACTGAAATGTGTTTGTGTGTGTTTGTCTGTGTGTCTTAGTGGCTCAGACCAAGGCTGCTGCCTGCGCTCGCTCTACATCGACTTCAGGCGTGACCTCAACTGGAAGTGGATCCATGAGCCTAAAGGTTACAAAGCCAACTTCTGTGCTGGCAACTGTCCTTACCTCTGGAGTGCCAACAACCATTACAACATGGTGAGTGGGTGGCTGTTTGAACTGGGTCATGGCAGGAGAGTGAATGAATTAATGAGGGGGTTTGTTTTAGTGGAATTTTTTTGGATTCCGAAATTCTAAAAAATGTTTCCTTAGTCAAGCAAAACAGTTAAATACAGAACCTCCCAATCATTTTTGACCAAGACTACAAATACACTTTACTTCTAGTCAACAATGAAACCTGAACAGAAACAGAGAACAAAATAAATGGCAAAATAATAAAGAAATAAATATGGATATTTTTGGTAAAAGTCAGAGAAAGCTGCTCAGCTGCTCAGTGGACTGCGGTAAAAGAGCTGTGGTGTGGACCAAAACTGCCGTCAACTCTCAGCCCGACTTTAATGTACAGAAAATGTGGGTGACGTTTGTCCTCAAATGAGTTTATTGTGCATTTTTTTATCCCAGTAAAACACCATGGTTAACCCCACTGTAATAAATGGGCTGACACCTCGCACAGAGCTGCTGCGGGACATATAGGACTGTACAAAACGGACTGTTTGTCTCACAGCTGATTGGTCTGCAGTCACACACACATTTACACTAGCCACTGTTTTTGTTTTTACAGTAGGTTTACTGCAAGGAAATGCTTAGCACATAAGACAATACACAAAAGTGAAGAAAAGAACTGTTCTAACTTTGGCCGAAAGATGAAGTCTCCTGTGTGTGGAAACCTTTGACTTTGTCTTATTTCTCCTCTGTGGCGTCAGATCCTGCCCCTGTACAACAAGCTGAACCCTGAGGCCTCAGCCTCGCCCTGCTGCGTTCCTCAGGACCTGGAGCCTCTCACCATCATGTATTTCATAGGCCGCACGCCACGTGTTGAGCAACTCTCCAACATGGTGGTCAAATCCTGCAAGTGTCGCTGAAGGAATCCTACTCCGATACAGACATCACCGAGGAGAAAACCTATAAACTGCTTTGCTCAAGGGGACACACAGTCGAAGACAGACTGATGGACTCCACGGACGTGAATCTTGATTGTTTGATCAGCCTTGACTGGCAGACAATTTTTTTTGTTCTCCTTTTTTTTAATTTTACTTGACTGTTTTCTTATCAGGCATGAAACCTGTTCACGTTGCTTTTTTTCTCCTCTCTCCTGGAATTTTCCATCTGATATAGGACACTGTAAATACCACCCATAGCTGTATTAAACCTGGATATGACAAACAGGCTGTTGTGTGATTTGGACACTTTTAGTCTACCTGCTGACTAAAAGGATTCTTTTATCGTGATTTTGTTTCCTCCGTCAGTTGTGTTTTTGTGGTCGCGGGCAGCGAGACGCGTGCCTGTTTGCTTTGGGTTTGAGGGTGTTGATTGGAAGGAGGCCTTGTGGAAAGGTTTGCAGACACAGATCTGTGGACCAAGGAGCGAGGGAGCAGATGGAAAGGAGAGAGAGAGAGGGAGAGAGAAGCTGTGTCCATGCAGAGGCCCTGCCAGCTCCCTGCGGTCCCGGGCTGAAATCTGCCCGGCGTAAACAGGATGTGAAAGGTTTCCAGACACCGAGCCGACCACTCACGGAACGCTACATTTAAATGCTCCCTTCATCTCTGCCTCTCTCTCTCTCTCACTCGGTTGCTGGAGGTTCTGGGACTTGTGGTGGGAGGAGAGACAGAGAACGGAGAGGCTTTGAAAATGAGACGTGGGATGATAGGGCTGCATTTGGAAAGGCTACAACTTTGGAAGGTGGTATTTTGCAGTCCTAGCAAATTTGTAACTGTTTGGGTCCAGCTCAGAATTTCTGTAATCACACACTTCTGCTTGTTTTCTGAATGTACATTTGTTGTCAAAGCCCCCAAAACAAACTGTTGACTCATAGCTGCTCTGATGCTATGATTATATTATATTACTTCGTACCTTCACTCTACCATCAGGCGCAGTGATACCCTCATACACACTGTCTCTCTCGCTCTCTCTCTCTCTCACACACACACACACACACACACAGGCGTGCACACTCATGTGTCCACATTGACCACTTTTGATAGAATGTCTAAAGACTGAAAATAAAAAACATCCCCAGGGCTCATTTTAAATATAGACTCTCTGGTATGCCCGTGGTTTGCGTGTGTGTGTGTGTACAGTACGTTTCTATCTGTGTGTGTATGTGCATGAGTGTATGTCTGTATGTGTGTGACCGGTGAGGTCACGTGTAATAGAGAAAATATTGCCTGTATTTTATTGTGATAGTGTGAGTAAAAAAACCCATCCATACAGAGAGATTTGTATCTGTCTAATCTGAACCTGAAACAAGGTCTGAACGTTGATGTTTTAAAGGTATAAACTTACATGTTGTGTTGTCTGTACAGGTGAACTTAACAGCCGTTGTCGCAGATCTCTGTGCTCAATATTGACTTGATAAAAGACATGGGAGACCCTGTCCTACCGCATGCTATTGATGGAAAAAGACAAAGAGGTATTAAAAGGTGTCAGAAAAAAAGATCCATGTTTACTGACTGACAATTCATTTTAGTTAAGTTGACATCAAGAGTCTCAACTGTGTAGGATGAAATAACATGTTAGTGGTGATTATGTTCTGTTCGGATTTATCTTACCTACTCTCAACTCTTCCTTCAGAGAAATCATGCAGTAGCTGTGACAAAAAAAAAAAAGAATAATGAACTTTGTGGAGCAAAAAAAAAATCACGAACAAGATGGTTGAGATGATGGGGCTCAAACTGTCATCGCACAGGGTCACGGTGGCCGAGAGGTTAAGGCGTTGGACTCGAAATCCAATGGGGTTTCCCCGCACAGGTTCAAATCCTGTTCGTGACGATGTTTTAAACAGCCAGTACTGCAGCTGTCCATCAACAGTTCATGGTGTAAATCTGAAGCAGTTAACAAAGGGAACTGGGCTGTCCTGATTTCTAGAAACCAATTCAGTCTGGTTTCCTGTTTCTTAACTTCTTTGACTAAAATGACCTGGAGTACTGAGAATCCACACAGACAGTTTGTATGAACACTGACAACACAACTGCTCCTCCCTCTTCAATTTCCAATGGCTCTATATTGTGTCCTTTGACCTGACAGGGCTAATAGATGTTGGAAGTAAGATTCTTAATTCTCAGTTCTGTGATCATGTTAATTAGATCAATAAATGGAAGGGTTTAGATGCAGTGAATTACACCTAAGGACTATTTAAACGATCAAAAAGAAGCATTTTCAGGTAACAGACAAATACATTTGTCTCACAGCAGTGAAAAACCTTCACACAGAGGTTCTAATTAGAAATGTCACAGTCAATTAGTCCAACAGCACTTCCTCAGAAACACTTCATTAAACCTGTTTATTGCAGTAAATGCAACAAACAAAATTCCATTCACTCTTTTTCTCTCTGAAAATGTGGGCGTATAAAACCCAAACCCTTTGGCTAGACCAACCACAGAGAGTGAGGAACACAGGGAAGTGGGAATACTTTATAATCTAGATAAACCCAGACTATAAAGTATTCTTCACCATGGCAACATATTAGTTCAGTCACATATGGCTGTAAACTTTCAAGAATTTCTTTTGAAGACCATGAACTACTTTTACCCAGCAGTAAAAGTTCTTCACACATCACAGTCCATGGCAGACTAGCTCAGAGGATTACACTGCTGATCACGGACCAGGAAACCAGAGTTGAAATCCTGGCCTTAGACAACATTGATGTTTATCGGTTACACTTTCATTAAGAAGGACTGTCAATTAAAAAATACATTTTAGTAAAATTAAAAACACAAAGTTTTACTTCACATTCAATTTGTTAGTATTTTGATCTAATTTCACAATTGTTTTACAGAACATATTAACAGCTTATCTCATCAACAACAACAAAATGTGAGATTTCTGAATGTATTTTAATTTTATCTTAATATTAATAAGAAAATATTTTTATTTTTTCAGTTTGAGAAGATCAAATAATTTAATTTTATCATTTTCTTTCTGTAAAATAAAAAGGTAAAATTCTGTTAAATAACAGATTTTTTTTTACAGTAAATGCAGACAGGCCTCAGCTAATGACTTATGTTATATAATCAGAAAACACAGTCCTGCATTTACATGTCTTCATACCTCAGACGACCTCATGACTCATTCTGTCAATTCAGCCTCAGAAATTACTGACAAATACAGGAGGTCCTGTCAAAACAGAGAAACGCTCACACTGTCTCGGAATGCAAAAACCAAACATTACAGAAGCCCTGCAGGTAGGTCGGGAAAATGAGGAAAAAGACTTAAGCCGTTCTTGGAGATAACTCTCTCTGGTCAGAGGTTTTTTATCCGCGCTGCTTCTGTTGTTAAAATAGCTTAAAGAGATGCACACTGCCCTCCAGCCATCACCATAAAATTGTTTTTCTAAGCCACAGTGAGAATGCAGCCCCACTATGTGTGTTTGTGTGTGTGTCGTAGTGCTTGAAGCTGTGGTGAGGTTCCCTCCCCCGTGAGTAAACTAGCCCCAGCATCTGTTAGTCTTTTCCACTTAACTACCCCTTGCTATATCTAACCTGTACTTATCCCACAGTGGAGCGGCGAGCTCTGTCTCACACTGAGTCCCACTGTCCTTGGGAGGGGAGTCCGCTGTGGACACGGACCCCCATTCTCTCTCTCTCTCTCTCTTGCTGTCACACACACACACTCACTTAAACACACCATGAGAGAACAAGAGCCTGCACAGACCTTCAGTGCACACACACCCACACAAGCCTAGTTTGTTTGGCTTGTGTACAGAAAAATACATCATGATTCATGACTGTGGTTTTGACACACTCCCTCACACTTCCCATACATCACCAAAATGTAGTAGAGCTCTGTGTAAAGTCTGTTGAGTCAACTTCAGCCCACATATTTTGAACTTTTGAAAACATTTTAATAAGTCACCAATATTTAGAAGTTGCTTTTCTTATGCCTCCAGTCAAATTAAACTATCCCTCACTCTCGTACAGTAATCATCTGGGCCCAGCTTTACAAAAAACGTTAAGGTTTCTGTTGCCGCAAAACAACTGGGAGATGAAACGCACATTAAACTTGCTTTCTTTTTTCGACAGATGAGGACGTCATTTCCCTAATTTCTTTCAATGCCAGACTGAGATCTTTGCCATAAAAGTAGCTCTGTAATCTAAAAACTGTTTATAAGAATAATATAAAAAGTCCAAGAAAATGCCCAAGAATTTGCATTTATGATTATATCTAGAATTTTAACAATGTTATTTTCCATGTAAATACAAACACACAACACACAGAGTCAATCTAAACCCTTTTCGAAGCCTTTAGCACCAAACCCTGTCTGAATTGTGTTTGTCATTATTGAACAGATCATCCTGTATCCTCTTTAAAATATTGTGATTTGTGATATTTTTTTAAGTTCAGCTACTGTAATAGGGTTTGCTTTGCCGCTCACTGAACTACATCTTTCAGTAAAAGCTTAGTCTGCAAAGGCTTACAAGTCATAGAAAGGAATTGTATGGAGTTCTACAATAGTCTAAACTACGAGCTAGTCTTGCAAAACTATAGAATACTTTGCTAGCAAAAGAAAAAAAGGTAAAGAAAAAAGTTACAGCCGCCGGTCAGAATACTCTTGAATAAATTTAAACTTAAAAAGAGCCCTGGTCCTTCAGGCCATAAGAACAATGTCGAAGGGTCATCATGGTCATGGTCAGCACTTCAGCTTAATGCCAAGTCAATATCTTTCTCTTTCCAGCCCACTGTCAACAAATTACAAAATATGTGGGATCCTGAGTTGGAGTGTGGATTCAGTGAGTTTCTTATTTTAGCTCTGGTGGACGGCATACTGCCACACTGGTCTGGTGTCGTAGTTCTTGGACCTGAGTAAGAAGGAACTGACTGTTTGTCCCAGATCCAACAAGAACTCAGGTCATTCAAGACTCCCCCATTTTTTCAGACACTTTTTTATTCTGCATACCATCCCTGACCTATTTTATGAGTTTTGTTTTTATTCTTGCAAAATATAATAAATCAGGGCATTTTAACTTTTCTTTCCTTTTAACTACTTCCTGAGTCGTTTTATTAAAGTATTTTGGGGCTAACTGCTTTCTCCTTCTTTACTGCCCTGTGATTGGTCAAAACCAGACCATTTCATACTTGACCCATAAAGAAGTCACCGTTATAAGTGCAGCAGAGCATAAATGGAACAGTCTCCAGGTATGTGTTTTATGAAATTATGAAAAGGATTCTCTTTTAAGTGTGCAAAGGAGTATGGGTAATATTGCACCAATATAGATTTGAAACATGCTCTTTAAATGTAAATTTTCAATCCCTTTAGCTTTTTCTAGGGATTTTCCAAACTTGAATGATCCTTCATTGGCTTAATTATGTAACATCATTGAATCCTAACCATTTCCAGGAAACCAACTGACTTCTTGTTGTGCCTCAATTCTCCACCCACTGCAGTTTTTTTCCCATAGGAAGTTTTTTTTAGTTAAAGTGGTAAGACACCCACAATTGGAGACGCAGAGCCTTGTTAAGTATTTTGTAAACAGGAGATCGAGTAAACAGCTGACCTACTCTTTAAAATGCCATATATTAGAATATACATATATAATAAATAAAATACATATAAGCGTATATATACATGTATATGTAATGTATATACATATATAATTTCCACCATCCCTATCTTTATTCCTCTCATTGTGAGATCATTTTACGGTTGATTGTGGAAATGTGTTTTGCCTCTTTCTCAGTAACACTGTGTGAAACCCACATGAAATAATAAATGCTGCTGTAAAGAGTCTACTGATCCCAGCAGCTGAAAACCAAATCAACAAAGCAGATAATTACATCTGATGATTGCTGGATAATGACATGACTCACTGCCTCCTAAAACCACTCAAATCCTGGCCAACTATTTACTAAAGGTGTGGTCACTCTAAGGTTTCACGGATTTCTTTAAGCCTCCAGACTCTGTGTCCTTAGATAAGATTTAAAACAAAAACCTATTTAGTGGAAAATTATATCATTTAAAGAAAGTCTGTGCCAATATAAGGTAATTAAAATGTGTTGAATGCTGAGTTCTAGTATAAACTATGTAAAAAACCAAATGTCCTGAGAGGTTAAATATGAACTCTTTTAAAGAATAAAGCTAATTTAAATGGTTTAAAAATATATTTGATCACTAACTGACATGTAAAGTGTACTGGTATCATTCTTGTGTGCAGGTGTTACAAACCTAAAACCTTCTGTTGGTTCAGCTATGGTTTGTTATGGCGGTCGTCAGAGTTCAGTAGCTGTGTGTGTCTTCTTCTCTGCCAGGTCTGACAGGTCTGAGAGAGAAAAGTCTGGGGGAGGCGTAGGTGGATGGGACGGTGGTTGACTGTCAATCGTGGGTCGCCTCAATTGCAAAGAGTTCCAACTATGGGACAGCTGTCGCCTCATGCTCCTTCTTTTAGACCTCCGAGGCCACCTTTTCTTCTCCTCACTCTGGCTGCGATCACTCAGAGCATCGGAGGACTCGTCAATGTACGCCAGGTTCTCCCCAAAGAAATCTAGCAGCTGGCAGCTGGCTGAGGCAGCGGTGTTGAGAGGAGGAGAGGGGAGGATAATTTCAGGCAGAGTAGAACGAATAAAAGGTTGAGTCAAAGGTGGGGAGCATGCACAAAAGTCTGAGGTAAATGCATACATGCAGCTACTGTTTGATGCCGATCCTTGTTTTTCTGCCGGATCTATCACAAAATTATCTTTTTCCTGTGTTGTGTTTATTTCTGTGTCTTTCACTCTTTGTTTCTCCAAAGTGCTCATGTTATAGCAGGGCTGGAACTGGTGCAGTGCAAGGAAGGAGGCCGAGGAGCAGTCTGATCCAGAGTCGTATGGAGACCCAGAGAGAAACCCTTCCTGCAATTCTGGATCTGCACAGTCCAGCCTTGAGTTTGACTGAGCAACAGGGAGGGAGAAGGAGCGAGCCATCACATGAGGAAATGACCTGGCCCCCATCTGCAAACTCACACCAAGCCCTGTTCCTTGGATCCCACCCCCTTCAGGTGGACTGGCCAGTGGCCTGGGCTTTGCCACTGCTGCCCTCTCCAGAGTCGAATGGGCATTTAACTGGCTCATAGAACTTGAGAGTCCAGCCCAGCGACTTGGCAAATGTCCATTCTCAGATCCTCCTGGAACCCAGTATCCCACAGTTCCATGGGCTCCTCGTCGGATGCGGCGGCGCTCACTGCGCTTCCATCGTCTGCGCTGTAAGAGGAATGGGTCGTATTCTAGAGGATTCAGGGCGCGGAGGTCTACAGACATGTTCTGGATGTTCTGTGTCCAGTCTGTGGCGTGAGCCCTCAGCTCCTCCATCTGTGAGTGGGTACAAAAACGGTCTTTATCAAATAAAATGAAAAATAACTGAAAATACCAAGAATAATAACTTAAATATTGATTTGCCACAACAGAGCAAACAAAACAAAATTAAAAAAAAGACCCAAATCATACCATTATGATTTTCTTCAAACAAATATTCAGCTAAAGGTATTAAAGGTATCTATAGTTTCAAAAGAATCAATTGCAATTTAATTAAGGCAGCTTTCTTCTGCTGTGGCTTAATTTCCTTTTTTTTTTTTAAAAAAATGAGGCGCTCAAAAATGGTACACTACATTTAAGTTTGAAGACAGCAATTTCTGTATATTCACCACATATCATTACCTCAGCACGGGTTCTTTTAGACAAGACCCTTAGCCAGTTGCCTATCATGGTGAGGATGGAGGCAAAGTAGGCCAGACCGAATACTATCCACAACCACACCAGAGGTTTGAAGAACACGTCATCTTCACGTCCATCACCTTAACGCAGAGAGACAAGATGAATGAGTGGTGATGTTCTAGTCTCCACAGAGGCTGTGTGACACAGATGTCAGGGATCTGTGCATCAGGCATCAGTGACATGGAGATGTTTCAATGGGTCAGTACCTGGTACATAGTCTCCAAAGCCCACAGTGGTGAGTGTGATGACTACAAAGTACAGAGACTCAGGAAAGGACCAGGACTCCACTTTCTGAAACACCACTGTTGGCACTGCCAGGAAAATCAGACAGCCAATCAGGATGGAGAGAACGGCTGAGATCACACGCACAGTGGTCGGCCTGACCATGCGTTTCTGTGGCAGAGAGAAAATGGTAAATACAGAGACGGAATCAAAATTGAGACTGTGGTGATAGTCACGTTTGAAATAAAAAACAATCTGAAGGCTCAGATAAAGAAGTGGAAAAAAGATTAAAAAAAATATCTCAAAAGTCTGATATACACTAGTGTATAGTAGATGTTTGACATTATTACAAAGGATATGTTATTTATTTAGTGGCTGTTTCCCAATTTCTGTATTAAGGTTATTTGCTTTTCTTAGTTTACGAGTGAGTTGCATCAGAAAACAGAACATTCAATTTGTAAAAGTGCAGCCAAAATAAAACTGTCAGCTTCTGAATGACTCTGCTCCACACTGCTCTTGAGCAGCTACACTTAATAAATACAGGTTACAAGTGAAATATCACCAATAAAAATATTTATTGGTTTATGGCAAGACAGGCATAAAAAGCCAATCACTGGTCAGGATCTGGAGGAGTGAGCTGGAGCCCAGTGTAGGTGACACAGGGTAAAGGTGGACAGATGATAGTTTACTTGAGTTAATATTGTTATTTTAAACAAAACCATCTGTTTAAGGATGCCACAGGTATAACTACCACTTTAGTCCTATTTTCACCGCCTTGACTACATGAAGTTAACTGGACATTAGTTCTAAAAAATATAGCATGAATTTATTTGCCCTCTTCTTTCTCAGACTCTCACCAGAAACAGGGTTTCAATCTTGCCCACAGCTCTACGCAGCACAGTGCCCATGTGATCACTGACCCCAGCCAGTAGGATGCCAAACATGGGGATGCCCACCAGAGCGTAGCAAACACAGAACAACTGGCCATACAATGTCCGAGGAGACAGGTTCCCAAATCCTGTCACAAATAAAAGGATAATTTACTACTAATTTATTTGTCTCTACATCGGTGTTATAGCAGTTTCATATAATATAGTGCATTAAAGCTAGTGCCTAATACTTGAAGTCCTTTACAGTGATACTTATCAAAATTATTATTATTAGCTTATGTGAAAGCCTTTATTTTTATTGCAAAAACGTGTTCTGTCTACAACTCAATATTTATATTCGAAAAACTGACGTAGTTTCACACACGTACGTGTGTATAAAGTCTAAACTTATTAGCGTACATTTGTACTTTTATTAGAATAAATTAATAGTATAAACAGAAAAGTCATATTATTACGAGAAAATATTTGTACGTTTTAAGGACTTAGGTCGTACATTTGAAATAATAATGTCGAAGTATCAGAGTAAGTTTACAACGACGAAGTCTTACCGTAAATCATTTGCCGCCACAATTATGTACGTTTATAGTCGCAGTATAGCGACTATATTGTCGTAAACCTACAATTCTTCATTGTAGTTATCTTAAGACTTTTTCCCATGGCACTACGACATTCCTCGTGAACAAGTTAAACCGTTCTGTTCCATTTACTCATTAACCTACGACTTTAGTCTCTTAAATTTAGATTTTCTTCCCTAACGAAGCCGTGATGATGAGTCGCACTGTGTGAACCTGGCGAAGTCCAATATAGTCAGTCACTTACTGCCCTCTGTCGGATTAAAGTAAAAATAACAGTTTTTCATTCACATGAATCAAAGTGTATAAAAGATGTGTTTATATTTTTAAATAAGTGGTGACACTGTTTACCTTTTTAATGATCCCAGAAGTTTGTTAGCGTATAACCAACTAAAAACAACATATATAAAAAGACATTCACAAGTCATTCTTGCTGAATGACCGACACAAAAATCAATTGATATAAAAAGAACTTGTCCAACTATCTACACATCAGATGAAAACGTCACGCCCCTCTCCCCGCCCCCCCCCCCCCCCCCACCCACCTCCCCCCCCCCACTGCGAGTCTAGTTCCACAGAAGAAAATGGAAGAGGCCCAATCCCAACGGCTAGTGAAGTTTGAAGAGAGACTGCTCACATCCAGTCCAGCATCTACTGCTGACATCATGCCCTACAGGAGAGATAAAACTATGACTACTTCCAGGTTTTTACATTACAACCAGATAGCTCTGCCCTTTTTTCATATACATTCTATGCACAAAACTGTAATAATGTGATACCTTCACCAGTTTTTGAAGGTCCTGCTCAGTCAGACATGACTTATTATCCAGGAACTTCTCCTTGGTTTTAACCAAGTCTTGGTATGCTGTGATCTCCTTGGGAGCCTCAAGGGTGCGGAAGACAAGTGCTCCCATCACCAAGTACAGCATGACCCCAATCAGCAGGGCCAAGAGGGTGGTATACCTCATCTTCAACCCCCCCCACCCCCCAGGGCCTCCAGGGTTAGAGGCCAGAGGCCAGGATCTGGTCAGTGTCCTGAGTCAGGATGCGGTGATGCACAGCTGGCCGTAAACAGGAAGCTCCTTCTGTGAGCAACAGTGTGTGTGAGGAGAGAGACATGTAAACAGGTAACAAGTGTTCCTGTGAGGCTGACAGATGTGAAGCATTATTTATAAATCAGTGCGTCACAAGAAAACCAAACAGTTTTTCTGGGATTTTGTGTCCAGGCTTGGAAAGTGAGAAGTTCAGGGCTACATACTGTAGGTGTCAGATTTTTGACAGTAATAGATTTCCAGTTGAAGTTGCAATTAAAATGTTTTAATTTTTAATTTTCAGGACATAACACAACTGTTTCTCGATCATGTCTGATGTAATTATTCAAAAACAATGAAGGATAGTAATAATACAATTTTTCTATACAATATTTGTGATGGAAACCTTCGCCCTCCAAGCTTTCCAAAACCTTTGAAAAACAGTAGATTATAAAGATTTCTGTTTCTTCAAATAACTAAAATAAGTAGATTTTTATATGTATTTTTTAAAAATATGTACATGCCTGCAGAATAATACAAATTAAAAAATAAAAATAGTACCTCTGGCCACAGTAGGTCAAGAGCTCATCCCATGATCCACTAGTCAGGTGACATCTGAATCCTGTCTGGTTAATTTGTGTCTTTAGTGTTGTGTCTCTGGGTTGATGTCCTTTTTCTTGTTCTTCTTTTTCTTAGAAATAATAATAGTAATATGTTTAATTAAAGTATTTTCTCCTAAACTAACGCTGACATATGGACAGAGATGAGAATAAAATTTCCCACCATGCACTAGTCATCCCTCAAAAGTTTGTGGATTAAACTTTGACCCAATCCCAGTCATTTGACATTTTCCTTTTTTTTAAAAATGGAAACAATTCCTTGAGAAAATAAAATACTATCAGAAAACAGATGTGCAGTGTTATAACACTGTACGACTGGTATTAAATGAGAGGGCAAGTGACACAAACCAGGTCCCAGATCCACGGTTACACAAACCATTACACTCTGCCAAAACCCCAAACACACTGTACATCTTGACATTAATTGAAAACATGTTTGTCCCTTATCTTGATTTGGCTTTGAATCCACTTTTTGAACTGTGTTTATATAACACACACACACACGTACACAGAGGATTATGGAATTTCTTCTCATCCTGGTTCAGTCAGCACTGTTTTCTCAACATGGACACTGACAGTGTTATGAAATTTCCCAGAGTTTGTTAGGATTCTGCACTAATGGACTGTTGGCTTTCTTTCTTTTTTTCTTCTCTCCCTCTGATCTCAGTCTCAACACTGACAGATTCTATTCGTTATCACTGTCTAAACCTCTGCTGGCATATTATGATATTTTGCTAAGATATTGACTGAGGTCTTAGAAAGAGCAGGGCAGTGGTCGACAGCCTGTGATCTCATCTGAAGGTAAACAGTGAAGCAGGTGGAGCCATAAATCATGAGGTGAGCTGTTTAAAATAAGTACAAAGCCTGGGAGAACAGGCACATCTTCTCTGTCTAGGATTTTACCTCCACGCTCTCACAAGTGAGTTGTTTCAGGTCCACATGCTGTTTGTTTGGTCCTAACATGACCATTTGGTTCCAGAACATCAGCACAGACCGAAAAACCAATAGACTGGAAAGAAGCAGTGAGTCGGTCGGCAAAATAATAATTTTAATGAAAAGTGTAGAATAATGAAATTACTACTTCTTTATGATTTTGACCATTGGTGCCCATTTGATGCACTAACTGTTACCCATTTAAATGGAAAAAGACAACAAAAAAATAATTTGACAGAATCATTATGAAGTCGGGAAACAACGCATGCTGCTCGTCTCATTCCAAATATAAACTTAAAAAAACAAACAAAACAAAAGCCATAAGTAAAACAGCTGACCTAGCTTTCTTGTGTTACACTTTACAACTAAGACAATTTACTCATTTCTTTTAAAAGGGGTCTTCACAGGGTCCTCACCATGAGATTTGCCGTCATTTACGTTTTCTAACACATACTAATACAACATTAAAGTCTTCCATACAGGAGAATTTTAAAATCTAAACTGGTTGATATTTCTGACAACACTGCAAATGTAAAAAGGCAAACACCAAGTAAAAGCTTTTCAGTTCCATCCCATCTAAAGAACAAAAGTGTCTTCTGTACTTTTCTCTGAATTTAAATGATCACATCTTACCTTCAATTTAAAGAAATCCAACTCCAAGTCCAAGTTCTCATGCAGCATATGCTGACCTCTCACTATTCACTGCTCTGTGAGGAACTCTGCGAGTGTGTGTGTGGGTTGTCAAAGTGCATGTGTTTTCTCCTTGGAAGGTGTTTCCCCATTCTTTGGGCCCTACATCACACAGCGACCGGGGAACAGATCTGAGGACGAGGAGGAGAAGGAGGAGGAGAAGAGCCGATAACTCCAAGGAGTAGAAGTCCAGCGCAGTGTGATAAAGTGCTGTCAGTGCAAAGGAAGAGCAGAGAGGATCCAGAGTTTCCTGAGCTCTCAGAAACCCTTCACCTCTCCCACCTCTCTAATTTTGCAACGTGAAAATGAGACGCTTGTTTCTACAGAAGTCGTTTATGTCCCTGACTAATTTCTATTGCACCGGAGAGGGAATTCGGTCATGAAATAAAACAGACTTCCAGGTTGGAAATCCATTAATTGTGTGCAGTGATCCTCACATCCAAGTCTGTGCTTTCAATGTGAAAGGGACTCAAACAAAGGGACTTAAACCAATGTGTAAACAGGGTGAACTGTAGAACCAACAGACATTGTTTTGTTTTTTTGTGTGATTTGTGATTTTAAGCTGTTTATTCTAGCCAATAACACAACAGTCAAAGTGTCCAAAATAAGGCAACAAGTAAACAACAGTGAACTTCCCTGATCAGAGCCTGAGTGTCCAGACACAACTGACTTAAATGACAGTTCACACACATATGAATGGTTCCTCTGTGGGTCTCTATAAGGAGTCAAAATAGTGGATGCACTAGAGTGTGTGTTAGAGAGAATAGTGTGTGTTTGTGTCTATTGTGTTACTGTGACCTGCAGAGAACACAAAACAAAATTAAAAAAGATAACTCCAATTCAAACTCTAAAGAAAAATGTACAAACCTACAGCTTAAATAATATCAAACTGTAGCTCTATCCCCACTGCACACAGAAAAACAACATTTCTGTTTAATATCAACTGGGTAAAACCTCATATCATTGAACATTTAAATAATATAAAGTTAATGGACAAATTCATTTTAACAGCAGGTTGATACAGACATCGCAAAACAGACTTAATCTCTACAGCGGATGACAACAGTGGATGTTCCCTTCCTGTTGACCTGGACACTGGTTTAGTCTGTGATGTGTTGACAGAAGAAAAACAAAAACAGGCCAAATGACCAGTATCCCTTTAAATGCACCTTAGCGCATGTGAATATAGATTTAGACTATTATTTAAATTCTACTAAATCTATACTTCTGCTAAACCCCAAATCAAATCGTCCAGAGTGGTGATTGTCCTGAGGTGCAGAGTAGAGAAAAAAAAACATGTACACGGCCATTACAGAAACACAGGTCTACTGATTCTCTACTGATCCTCCGTGGCACAGTGACACATATGGGACAAACAAAACTCATCATATGAAGGTCAAATAAATATCTAATAAAACATTAGCTTAATAAAACGCATGACACTTGTTCGTCAGCGTGAAGACCATTCTCTTAGTGTACGAAGGAGAAGGAAAGCAGCAGCAGCAGCAGCAGGAGGAGGAGAGAGGAGGAGGAGGACACAGGGAGCTTCACCATACATGGAGCGGAAACCAAACCAAGGTAGACTGAGTCATAGACATGTGCCCGACCCCTTCACTCCCCCTTTCCTCCACACACACACACGCACGCAAACACAGTAACATCAGGATGACACAGGTTTTACATCAGCTACTGTCACATCCATTTTTACTACGGTTTAACACAC